TTTTATTATGCATTGTGCAATTCACATGTAAGAAAGATCGTTTTGAATTAAGAAAATTATCTCTTTTGCCATTTGCGTGAGGATCTTAATTCACGTTAATGTCTGCCAGACGTTATAAATGCCACCAATCATCCAGTTGTAAAAACAAAAAAAATAAGTGCTGTGATTTTCTTTCAAGCGTATAGAATGCTAATTAAAATGTTTTATAATTACTCTATTCTTTTCGATCATTATTTTCTCATGTGTTTGTTGTTCTTGTGTTTCAGTGGGTATATGAGTTTATTGATTATCTCATGCTGATATAAATCGGACGCACAAGGTAAAAAGGACTTTTGTCAGTTTTGGTTCTTCCATACATACTTTCTCATGATGAGATAGCTCGTACGCAGGGCCGGTGCAAGGGTCTCGTATCCCTCCCCCGGAATTTATGAAACACCTCCCCCCACTCTACTACATCTCAATTTTCATAAGTTATTATTCATATAAAATACAAATATTGTAACCTCTGTATAATAATGGGTCATATGTAATATAGGTGAACAATTCAACAAAAAAAAAAAAAAATGAAAATAAATACAATGTTTCTAAATACAAATTAGTGACATAATAGATCATTCCATCTTAAATAAATTAACAATGTTTGGTGGCAATCTTTAAGATTAACTTGAGATTTTAATTGTTAAAAATTTGAATAATTTCAACACATTCAACATTATGGAGAAAAATAGCGGATTTTATATAGTGTTTTTTTTTTTCGAGAGCAAAGTAAATTCACGTATTTCGACGAAAAAAACAGAATAACGTCAGATTCACGAAAATTTGTCATCCCTTAATATTCAGTTGTCCTTAGTTTAATTTGTAATGTATATAAATGTAGGTAAAAAAAGGAAATTTTGATAAGATAGTGAAGGTCACAAGGCACTGCCCGGGGCAGTGATTGTACAGGAACCGGTATTTCAATGTAATACGGCCGTAAGCCGGTAACCAAGAAGATGGTGAAGAAAGACAACAAAAATAACAACAGCAACAACAACAACAACAATAATAATAATAATAATAATAATAATAATAATAATAATAATAAGAAGAAGAAGAAGAAGAAGAAGAAGAAGAAGAAGAAGAAGAAAAGAAAATTTAAAAATAGTGATTCAAGATGATAATCCAAAAATGCCTTCTCAGAGATGCCACTGACCGACATATAGAAACTAACAGACCAGACATCGTGGTTAAAGACGAAGAAAAATGCCTTCTCGCAGATCTGGAAGTGCCGTCAGATAAAAAACTATAAGTCAAAGACAATGATAAAAGAAGTAAGGATATCGAAACTGAAATAGAAAAGTGCTAACAGGAACAAAGGTCGTCTTTGTTTGCAAGAGATTCAAAAGATTGCACAGTGCGGAAATGTTCAGAAAAGATAAACATTACACATGTTAAGTAGCACATAACATCAGAATTGGTGCAAACATAATGCATATATTTTCTATGTTGCCTTACTCCAAATTTCGGGTAATGGAATTGTACTGAATAGAAGGCAAATAATAATAACAATGATTTATGGAAGAATGTATACATCTTTCTTGTAGTCTATCCATCCATCTATCCATCTATCCATCTATCGTTCTTGTAGTCTATGCATGCCATGGACAGACTACAAGAAAGTCTATGACACAGAGCCACATTCTTGGATTGTAAAACACCTTGATACTCTGTGTCTTTTAAATCAACTTAGGTTGTTATTGGAAGATAATATGCGATGATGGATTTAGTTAGTAATAATAATAATAGTGAGGAGAAAAAGGAGATGTAGAAGAAAAAGTCTACGATAGGAAAACGGGAGAAGGTTATAAAAGAAAATAATAATAACTAGCCAAATCCCCGTCTTAAGAACATTACTCTTAATAATAATTTTAAAATAATTTAGCAGACGATATCGTTTTATTTATGGTAACTGAATTTTTGGCGATTGCCTTATTCGGTTTCCATCGTTCGATACTGTGCGTCTGTAAAATGTCATGTTTATCGCGGCCGCCATAGATTTCCGGCCTTTTAGCTGGGATCAAAGTGTAATATCTGCCATCGGGCGGATAGACTACATTTTATCTCTTAGTTGTGTCTCTATCTGCAGAACTGAAAATAATATTGTCTCGAAGTCTCGGGAAACAGCTGCCCGCGGCAGTCACTCCCCTCATTGCACTAAAGAGAGGGGATCTATAGTAATATCGATGACAGCGCAACCGACGATTGGAGGGGGCTGGGCTATTTTTCAACCTGACCCGGGTGCACTCATCGAACTCCCCACAGTAAACTGACCTTGTGTCACATACTGTCAGAATGGAACGACAAGAAAGTACAATTGCTTCTCGCCTTTTTAGATGAGATCAAAGTATAGTATCTGTTCTTAGCTCAATCTGAATCTCTGTCTCCACTTCTATCCTCCCGTCTTTCTTTCATTTTCCTACTGAAAGCAAATAGTGTCTTTTCCCCTCTTTCCGCGGGATCAAAACAGAATAGTCACTTATTTAGGAGGTATTGGTAGGGCGTAATGGTCGTGCGAAGCACAATAATAATAATTATATTAATAGTGGAGGGAAAAGGGAGATGTAGAAGAAGTCTACGATAGCAAAGAGGGAGAAGGCGATGAAAAGCAAGAAGAAGAGAGAGGGTGAGAAGGCGACGGTAATAAAAAAATCCTTTGATGACGAAGAGAGACGATAATGATAAAACACTTTCGCATATATCTTGACATTATGCTCTGGATATTTACTGTTAGTGCCAATGTTTTCCTCTTTTCACTGCACTCATCTTCCTGACTTATTCCTACCTAAGATTTGTTCTTTGACTCGAAGAAAAGCTTACCTGTTTATTTATCGCAAAATATAAAGGTGAGTAACCTGTAAATGGAGAGTAAGGAGCGAAGGTGGATGGGGAGAATCAAAACCGAGGAGAGTTCAGTTTGCAGCAGGAAAGAAAGGAAGCCAGAAATAGAAAGAGGTATCAAGATACAAAGAGAAAGTGTGTCAATGAGACTGACGAAGAGATACATGGACTATTTTTTTTGTACGATTTAGAAGCATCAAAATGACAATGGCTAAATATCGATATTTGTCTGAAATAGAGTTACATCGAAGATGGAAAGCTTATATTGTTACGCCAATCTTCCAAGTTAGAAGTGCTTTACGTATATTTAAAACAAAAATTATTTCTTTTTCAGCATCTCCTTCTTTGTCGATGTACTTAAAAGAACGAATATTATACAGTGAAATCATCAGATTCAAATTCAGATATGTCAGGGTGCAGATTTATTGACTTACACACACACACAAATTACACACGCACGCACACACTGATATATATATATATATATATATATATATATATATATATATATATATATATATATATATATCGCAATGAATCATACATACGAAAAGTAAATTAATAAAGTTAATGATATAAAATGGCGAAATCCCTTCGCTTACAAAATTTTAAAGATGGATTAACCTACTAACCACTCGATAAATGTTATGATCTTTGTTTTTGTTTTTTTTTAAATTGTAAACTCTATTAGGTCTTCCGTAAATATACAAGTACTTTCGACAGGTTCTCCTGTCATCATCAGGCATGGAAACTATTTTCTTTTTGGTAAAATTCAGGTAGCATCCCAAACGAAAAAATATAATGCAAATCGAAATATGTTTTTTTTTTCCTACGAGGCTGGCATCCCGCTCTCACCCCCTCACCGTCGAAACTCCTAAATGTAGCCGTCTCTTCTACTCTAATAGCTTCATATCTCGCACCTTTCGCCTGTGGAACTCCCTTCCCTTCTCCTGTTTCCCTGCGAGCTATAATCTCTATTTTTTCTCTATTTTTTTCTCTCTCTATTTTTTTCTCTCTCTATTTTTTTCTCTCTCTATTTTTCTCTCTATTTTTTTCTCTCTCTTTTTTTTCTCTTTTTTCTCTCTTTTTTCTTTTTTCTCTCTATTTTTTTCTCTCTCTCTATTTTTCTCTCTCTATTTTTTCTCTCTCTATTTTTTTCTCTCTCTATTTTTTCTCTCTATTTTTTCTCTCTCTATTTTTTCTCTCTTTTTTTTCTCTCTATTTTTTTCTCTCTATTTTTTCTCTCTTTTTTTTTCTCTCTCTATTTTCTCTTTTTCTCTCTCTATTTTTCTCTCTCTATTTTTTTCTCTCTATTTTTTCTCTCTCTATTTTTTCTCTCTCTCTTTTTTTTCTCTCTATTTTTTTTCTCTCTATTTTTTCTCTATTTTTCTCTCATAGTGCATTTTTATAAGTCACGTGGCCATTTCCAAACTTGACATCGGATACAATACCAAAAATCTTCAAAGGCCGACACGCAAAGTAAAAGTAGAAAGTCAGTTTGCAAATGCCCGGTTCAAAGGTCGACATATTTTGGATACCCACCGCCCCGCCTACGGCACCCAAAGCTTACTCTCCGTTTTGTTCTCGTCTTTACCTCATCGCAGCCACCACCGGCACCCTTCTCCTCTTCTCCCGGCAACTTCAAATAAAACTCACCTTCCAAGCTCTCACCCTCTTCCCACTAACACTCGGGCACATTTGTGCAGCAAAAAATAAACCTACCCTTTCCTCTTCGAACTGATCGATATCAGGAATCACGTTTTGATTAAATTGAATTTTCTTCATCCTCACAATTTTTTTTCTTTTCTTTTTGTTTTAACAATCTTAAAAAGCAGCCATCAGTTTGGCTGGCGTTGCCTCATTTCGATAGGAAGTCGGATAGAAAGAAACAAGCAAACAAACAAATAGAAAGAAAGAAAGAAAGAAAGAAAGAAAGAAAGAAAGAAAGAAAAGAAAGAAAGAAATACAAACACAAAGAAACGGAAAATAGGAAAGAAACAAACAATTACGAAGAAAGGAAGAAATACAACGAAACAAACAAATACAAAGAAAGAAGCAAACAAAAGTAATTAGGAAAAAGAAACAGACAATTACGAAGAAAGAAAGAAACAAAAAAAACAAACAAAAATAGGAAAAAAAGAAAGAACGAAAGAAAAAATTAAGAAAGAAAGAAAGAAAGAAAGAAAAAAAGAAATACAAAGAAAGAAAGAAATTGGAAAAAAGAAACAAACAAACAATTACGAAGTAAGAAAGAAACAAAAAAGTAAATAGAAAGAAAGAAAGAAAGAAAGAAAGAAAGAAAGAAAGAAAGAAAGAAAACGATTTCAATAGAATGTAAAGTTGTTTACAACCTCTCAGGGCATTTTGTGCTCGGGATTGAAAGAAACATTACACCATATTATTTATTTATTTTTTTTAAATTGAAAACAAATTTTCTCTCTCAGATTCTTCAAGTATTTCATTGATTTCGATTTCCTTTTACTTTATTTATTTTTGCACAGAAAATCGTAAACATTAAAAATAGGTTGACTGCCTCGTGCTTTTTCTTTTCTTTTCTTTTTCTTTTCCTTAAAGAATTTGAGTGTTAACTTTTGTAGGTTTATAAAAGAGGACGTGATATACAAGCAAATATCTGACATGACAAAAAGTACACTCGCATACATTCCTCTCTCAAGCTGAATATATATATATATATATATATATATATATATATATATATATATATATAAAGTAGCACATGATAAGTGCTGGTGGTATTTGAGTGTTGTGCTTAATGGTGAGGAACATAATTTATATTTATTACTATTAGTAGTATATATATATATATATATATATATATATATATACTAATTTTGTGTGTGTGTGTGTGTGAGAGAGAGAAAAAATGTGTGCGTGAGTGGGTATATAAAGAGAATGCGTGTGAGGGAGAGTGACAATTCATGTGTGGGAGGAGTGAGAGAAAGATAAGGTGTGTGTGTGTGTGTGTGTGTGTGTGTGTGTGTGTGTGTGTGTGTGTGTGTGTGTGTGTGTGTGTGTGTGTGTAGAAAAAGAATGCGTGTGTGGAGAGAGAATATGTGTGTGTGGAGAGAGAGAGAATGCATGTTTGTGGCCGAGTGAGAGAGAGAGAAAGTGTGTGTGTATGCGCGCGTGTGAATGTTTATGTGCACTAATTTTACATTCATGCTGGCTTCATTGCAGATCAACGAAATTTCTTTAAGATCATTTAAATTTTTCCTGTTTGAACAATTTTAGTTAACTTCGGAATATACTGAATATATTTCACAAATAATAATAATAATAATAATAATAATAACAACAACAACAACAATAATAATAATAATAATAATAATAATAATAATGAACATCACCCAGACCCGGTTACGGAGATAGGACCTGTTACAATTCTATGGGATTACACAATACACACTGACAGAACAATCAAGGCCAACCGGCCAGATATTGTTATTAAAGACCACAAACAAAAACGGTGCCTCCTTATTGATATGGCAGTCCCTGCTGACTGCAATGCATCTTTGAAGATATTCAAAAAGTTGTCAAAGTACAAGGACCTTGAAATAGAAATCTCGAAAATGTGGCATATGGGAACATCAACAATCCCTGTTGTAGTTGGAGCTCTAGGACTGGTTGGAAAAGATTGCAGTAGACTAATTGAAGGGATTCCTGGAAGTCCATGCCTCAAGGAGATACAAAAATTGTTCTGACAAGTACAGCCCACACCTTACGAAGGGCTTTATCTATGTAATTTAATTCTTTTTTTTTTTTTGTCAGTGGAAAGTGTCATGACGCCATTTCTAACCTTAGGTCCCTGGGCGGGACCCGGAAAGAAATGTGTAAACGCCAGAAATCAAAGAAAATGATAATAATAATAATAATAATAATAACAACAACAACAATAACAATAATAATAATAAGTGAAGTTGTTCGAAAACCACAAATTGAAGATCCTGTGGGATTTCAACATCCAATGAGACCCCCCCGTGTTTTCAAGGCTACCAAACCAGACATCACTGTGGTTAATAAAGTATCAAGAAAATGTCTCTTTCATGTACGTGGCTGTTCTTGGTGACCAAAATCTCTCGAATTACCAGTATATGGGACAGTCAGGCTACTAGCCCTTTTATCACTGGTACCTATATATATATATCGGTACCTATGAAGAAATATAGTTTTAAGGCGTGCTATATTTATGGGATAAAGTGCTCAATATCAGAGATAGAGCGTATGTAAATAAAAAGTGAACATTGAAGTCAACACTCAGGCCACCATTAGTATCTATACTATCGAACTACATTGAGAAAATCGATATAAGCCCAAGTATCCTATCGTTTCAGAGGTTTGCGTTGTTTAGTATTACAAATATTCTGCGAAATACACCTTTTGCGATCTTGATCTCTTATCACAATATTCATTGCCTTTTTGAAAACTCTCTGCCTTAGGGATCGCCGTCATCGTTGCGTTCTCCATAATCTCGTCTACGGTTTGAAATTTTATCCCCTTAAACATCGATACCCAGATGCCATAAGCAAATGTAGACAGACTTGATTAGAGCGACGGTTTGCCAAAATCTGGAGACGTGAAAAAAATCTACTTGCTCTCCTATCTTAAATACAACAGTCACAATTCATCGCACGAATATCCTTTTAAAAATATGCCAAAAAGGCCGCGCATCCGGGTCTCTGATTATTCAAAATGGCGATGGAATTTGAAAGATATTGGTTGTTTGGACGAATGAACCCATAAAAATAAAATGTTTTAATTGTATTTATTTTTTTACAATTTCCTTTTACAATTATTTTTCTTAATAAAAATTTAATCTCTGAAACAACTTTGCTCTGAGTTGTGCATTTTCTTTTTTAAATAATTAACTTCATTTTGTTTTTTCATCATAAATTTCAATGAAAGAACGGCTGGCGGTTTTTTGTTTTGTTTTTTTTTTTTTTTGTGTGTGTGTGTGATGACGTCATTCTTGATGAAACCCAGGTGTAAACAACAAGTAAAAAGAAAGCGACAATACCGGGAAAGGGAGATAAATACGTTAAGACAATTTGAAGAGTAATGTAGCCGAGTGAAAGGGACTTTGATGTTGGTTCGCTAATTGTGCTAATCGTTTGAATTTCTTTGCTCACTTGGTGAATTAATTGTGGGCTTTTTTTTTATTTTGGAAATACGATTAGTTCAGAACAAATACAACGAACAGACTGAGATAGACACACAGACAGAAAGATAGAAAAATAGATCGCTAGATAGATAGGTAGAGAGATATGAACTGCCTGAGACACGCACACAGATACATACACGCACAGGCACAGACACACACATAAATACACAGACAGTATGCATTTCTTTAATAAGATTTCTCGAACATTCAGGACGATAAACAAAAGTAAATAAATATAATGTTTAATAAATAAACGGAGCGTCTACTCAAATACGAGTATCCACTAAAAATAACGTTTAAAATGATTATATATATATATATATATATATATATATATATATATATATATATATATATATATATATATATATATATATATATATATATATATATATATATATATATATATATATATTTAAGTATCCAACGACTACATCTTAAGTATCCAAATATATATATATATATATATATATATATATATATATATATATATATATATATATATATATATATATTCCGAAAGCACATTTCTTTCATTAAGATTATCGAATGTACAGACAAAAATTGTATATATAAAATATATATATATATATATATATATATATATATATATATATATATAAATATATAATCACTTTAATGCGAAATGCGAGAGAAGAAACTATTAGAATAGAACCTACGGTTGCATCTGGTTAATTCAACATTAAAGACGGTGAAACCTAGTTGCCAATCGCTTAAATTTACGCAAGCGAGATACTAAGGAGACCTGCTCATCAGAACAATTGTGATGAAAATATTTGCGGAAAAGACAGAGGAAAGCCACATCAGGTTGTTGTGTAAGGTACTGAATTCGTGATGCCAGGTCAAGATTGATTACATTACTGACCCTTTTTTTGAATTGTGTCAAGAATCTGGAGATATGTTGTAGGAGCACTTGAGCAGATTTGGAATAACAGATTTATAAATGGGCATGTGTATGAAATTGAATTTCAGAATATTTTTCCTTCAATCTTTGCATATATATATATATATATATATATATATATATATGCGTCAGTTGAGGACTTTCAACAGTAGCAATGATTAAAATCGATAGCACAGTATATAAATAATGACATAATCAAGATGTTGACTTCAAACACGACGTTACAAGGAAGTTGCCATTAATACTGGAAAGTGTGACGACAGTTAGTGGACTTGAGAAATCTATTTTTCTGAAAAATTGTTTTAATAGAAATATTAGGTATTTGAAGTGTTTGGCATTTAATAATTCCACATTCCGTATTTCTATGATAGATGAAGGGTAGATGCCATCACTGCTTTCATTTCAATTCCAATGATATTAGCAAATTGTCGTAATTAAAACGGTTTCATTTTAGTATATAATATTTTTTTTTCAAATTTTAGCCCACTGGCTTCTTGGTTAACGAATATTTCCTTATAGGGAAACGGCTGATATTACCATTACCATGGCCACTACTATTACCGTATATACATATCTCAGTCTCTGAAACAGACGAAATAAAGCAATGTCGGTTATCCTTACCAGTATATACATACATACATGCACGCATATATACATATATTCATGTATACACACATGTATCCAATTATTCATACATATATATGAGATAACGATATATATTTGTTTATATATGAAGAACAGTATTGTGGAAAATGTATGACAAAGTGGAAAATGTATGACAAAGTGGAAAACGTTTTCTTGTGACGCGTTTCGTCCTTTAGGGCTTCATCAGACTAAATGTGTTAGGGTGGTGCGACTACACATGAGCACGGACAAGGGATGCTGGGAATTTCAAATTTTTTAATATATATTTTTTTTTAAATCTAGTTGATTTCATTTAGAAACTTTTTTCCCCCCTCAGTTTTGTTAGTAGGTATTTTACACTGTGATAATAGTTCTACCAGAAAAGAAAACATTCATAAGAAAACATTTTCCATTTTCCCATATATATATATATATATATATATATATATTTCGAACCTCACAAGATGTAGTCGTTGAATACTTAAACTGACTGGTACCATATATATATATATATATATATATATATATATATATATGAAGATGAAGAAATATAGTCTTAAGGTGTGCTATATTTATCGGATAAAGTGCTGTGTTTATAAATACAGAGACTCCAACAAGACTGCATTCTCGGATCAGGCGAT